GTTGATCCCACATCAGGATCTGTGCTGACAGCAAGCTCAGAACCTGGGGCCTGAGCCCTTTGGATTCTGTGTCTCCCTCTCTCTTTCTGACCCTCCCCTGTTCACACTGTCTCTTTCTCAAAAATAAAAATAAAACATTAAAAAAAATTTTTTTAATGGCTGCTGGCTTTTCTAAAAAAGTGAAAGAGACAGGGGGCACCTGGGTAGCTCAGTCGGTTGAGTGTCTAACTTCAGCTCAGGTCATGAGATCAGGTCATGATCTTATGGTCTGTGAGTTCGAGCCCCACATCAGTCGGGCCTGTGCTGACAGCTCAAAGCCTGGAGCCTGCTTCCGATTCTATGTCTCCCTCTCTCTCTGCCCCTCTCCTGCTCACACTCTGTCTGTCTTTCTCTCTCTCTCTCTCAAAATAAAAAAGCATTTTAAAACAAAGTGAGAGACAGATGTTACATACATTCTGATGAAAATAGTCAATACTGTTGTAAAGTATTCTTACAAAAAAACTAACATAAAAGTGATCTAGCTTCCATATCTAACTACTAATTTATAGAACTTACAGGAGACAGAGCAACAAGTTAAATGACACCTCAGAGGCAATCACCAAATTCCAAACTGTGGAAAACTCTACAGATCATGTGACCAAGTTTCTTTTTTTTTTTAAATTATTTTTTAATGTTTATTCATTTTTTGAGAAAGAGAGAGACATGGAGCATGATCGGGGGAGGGGCAGAGAGAGACAGACAGACAGACACAATCTGAAGCAGGCTGCAGGTTCTGAGCTGTCAGCACAGAGCCTAATGTGGGGCTTGAATTCATGAACCGTGAGATCACGACCTGAGCCGAAGCTGAACGCTTAACTGACTGAGCCACCCAGGTACCCCATGACCCAGTTTCTCAAGCAAAAAATAGCACTAGTGGGAGGGAAGGTGTACTTAGAAGAACACTGAGAGACATATAAACCAATTGTTATATGTAATTGTTTTTAACAATCAAAGCACATCTTCTTTTTTTCAATGTTTATTTTTTTGAAAGAGGAAGAGAGTGCTCATGTGAACAGGGGAGGGGCAGAGAGAGAGGGAGTCACAGAATTGGAAGCAGCTTCAGGCTGTAAGCTGTCAGCATAGAGCCCAATGCGGGGCTCGAATAATGAACTGTGAGATCAAGACCTGAGCCGAAGGCAGAAGTTTAACTGACTGAGCCACCCAGGCGCCCCTGTAAACGAAATTTTACTAGAACATAGTCCTGCTCATTTATTTATGTATGGTCTATGGCTGCTTTTCAGCAACAATAGCAGAGGTGAGTAGTTGCAACAGAACAGTCTGGCCCTCAATGCCTAAAATATTTACTATCTTTCCCTGTACAGAAAAAGCTTGCTGATAACTGGTATAGCTAAATCAAAATTGGCTATAAGTAAGTGGATTATTACTGAAGCTGAGTGATGGCTACATGGCGCTTATATATCATATTATGGACATGTAATGTTTTAAAATTTAAACAAACCAACCAACCAGTATATACTGGTTGGTTCTAAGATAAAGCATTGTTGTGGCCTTTGACTTTATCACTGAGGACAGCATCCTGATTCCACAGGAAGGTGCATCTTACCCAACACTCTGCGTCTAAGGACACTCCTGACACCCTGGGGACTGTTCAGAAATGGTTGTGGCTATCTACCTTGAGAACTACCTCAGAGGCCTTAGCAAGGCCTGCCTTAGCAGCATCAAAACATACAGAAGACTGTTCACAGGAAGCAACCTGGGTCTCCTTTGCTTATTCATTATCCTTTGAAGAGCCTACTACATCTAGAAAGAAACTTTGTTTTCAGGATAACAGACACTGTACCTCTCCAAGGAATATCTCTGTTTCTTAGAAAAATAAGTTAATCTTTCAATGTTGTGAAGATAATGACACTTGAAGGCTCTTAAAAGAGACAGAAAGTCACAATAAATCCTGTATATCTTATAGATAAGCATACACACTTATGTATCATGCTGCAAAATCCACAAATACACTTATCAAATATAGGGTTTCCTAGAGAAGCACACAGCTAACGACTCTCAGAGAAAGCGTGGTCATTTTAGAAGTTGAGTTCTGGTTCCTTCAGCAAACAGCTATTGAACATCTACTCCCCTCATGGTATGCTGGTAAGCAGTTGAAAGACAGAGAGATCTATGAAACACTGTTCTTGGCCTGAAGGATCTAGTGTTAAGGGATTAGGATTATAGTGGTTTGTAGTATAGGAGAGAGAGGAGAAGCCATTGCAGTAGTTTCCTTTATACATACTTAGCACACATGCCTACATGTGTTAAGCATTCTAAGGATTTTATCTCACGTAATCTTTACAATAAACTATGAGGTAGATGTTATTGTTCTCATTTTACACACTGGTACTTAGAGAGGAATAACTTAAACCCACACTCTGTCATATGCCAAGCTGCTCTCCTAAACATCACTGGTACTTTAAACACTGAAATGAACATTTTTATTTTGTTTGCACCATGCAGATGCATTTCTAAAGAAGCTCAAGCTACATGTCACTGTACTGGGTTGCCTCTCATCGCTTATGAGTTGGATCTCATCTTTGACCACCTTCCGCAGGAATAAGACATTTTTGTTTATGCCAAGTTTAAAGGACAATGTGAAGAGAAGGGGAAGTACTCAGTCTGCCTCATCCATGAATTTTGTAATTGCACAGGAACGTGGTATCTATCATTTTTTAAATTGTTTTGTAATCTTTTAACAAATTTTTGTAAGTAATCTCTATACCCAACATGGGGTTAACTCATCACTGCAAGATCAAGAGTCCCATGCTCTACATACTGAGCCAGACAGGAGCCCTGGTATCTATCATTTTAAAGAAACACTGGAACTTGGCTTTACATATAAATGTGAAAGATAGCAAATTAAAAAGTCTTTTTGCAGGCACATACACAATATTCTTTTTGAGCACGTTGACATACAAGGCTAACTCTGGGCAAAACTCTGAGGATTGTGAGTTATACTCTGAATGTTTAACAACTGCTCTCTGCCCAAAATACATGTGTATATATTTATTATAAATTTTATAATATTAAGAATATGTGCCACTCAATTTACAAATAACAATAAAATAATACTCCATATTGTAAGTTCCATATAGTCCATTGATTTGTACAGAATGCTTTCACTGATGTTTGTTCAACTCTACTCTTTGTAGCCAAACTTTGGTTGCAACTGACAAATAAATGTAATTCCAACATTAATGATGGTTGACATTTTTATTTATACTAAAGAGTAGGATGAAACAAGAAAGCCGTATGTCAAACTTCATTGCTCTTCATTACGTGAGTGCCATCTTTGTTAAGTTGGATAATAGTTTTTGAATAATAAAAGATTACTTCTTCCAATTTTGCAGTTCACATTGTAATGGCTATAGATACCACATACTTTTAAGTTTAATTTGCATTATTAACATTTTTCTCCATCATTTTCTTAAGTCTGGACAAATGACCAACCATAAATCAAACCCTGGTTTGTACCATTTGCCTGTTTCCACAGTATAAACACTCTCACCATGGTCAAATTCAAGCTACAATTATGATATCATTAAACCTTTACTTGGAAAGAGATGCATAGAAGCACACTATTATACAGAACATCTACCATATATATATACAGTAGACATAACCTCAAGTGCATAAACAGTAGTAATATACTAACATGATTAGGGGATGATGAGTTTGTTTTATAATTTATTTAATTGTAAGTTTGTATTGAATTGAACTGCATAAAATTACTGATATGTAACCATATATATATTTTTATCTACAAATATTGTAAGTTCACATAATTCAACCTAAAACATATTCAGGGAGTTTGGGGATGGTGGAATTATTGGGTGGAGGGTTGGGAAACGATGATAGTAATAAAAAGAACCTCTATTATTTACTGAATACTATCCTAATGCAAGTTTGGCTCTCTGATTTTCAACAACTAAAGAAGAATTTCTTGTGACACAATCTTATCTAGTTTCTCCAAGTTCAAACTTACTGAGGCAGAGATCAGGTAATTTCTAGCACTTTAAATTCAATTAAGAATATGACATTATATATATATATATATATATACACACTATATATATACATATATACATATGTATACATATATATACATATATATGAAAGTGAAGTATTATCTATGTAAAATAACATTCAGGATATTTGACACAATTTTTGAGCTAAGTATAGGAGAGAACAAGCACTCCTTTTTGGAGCATGAAACTCAATAATTAAGTCCTGGCTTAATTAACTACTTACTATATTATGAACTGTACGTTTTGAACTGCCTCATGGATTCTGACATCCGGCTTCTTATCTGTGATTTGGGTAATGATACTATCTGCCTAGATATATGTTCCAGTAATCATGAGATTTAAATGGGAAAAAGAAAATAAAGAGCGCCTTATAAATGGTCCAGTTTTATAAGTAGTGGCTTATTATAGAATCACAGCTTTGTGTATTTGCCTCCAGGATTGCTTTCTGGGCTCTGATCCCAGACCAGGGGCTAGGGGCAGGGAAAGAGGTGGGGTCGCGGTAAACAGCTATCAGCCTTTGTGATGCAAAAGCATTACTAAACATTTGTTTTACTGTAAACAACTACATTGCTGAAATAGCTTCTCAGGATCCTTCAAACTGCCTGATCACACTGGATCTATTTACAAAACTTAATTTTTAAAGAAGAAAAAACCTCCTCTCTTTCTTCATATTAATAATCTTCAAGAAATTTAGGACAAATGCAATTTACGATTGAAAGCTCGCATGCTCCGAGGGAGGGAGGAATGTTCAGGAAACATTCAGGTGTTTCAGGCCTTCCAAGGCCCAGCTGAAAGGGGGCCTGTTGCTCTGGGAGGGATAGAGCAGAGTCCTGACCCTCCCAGTCTCCTACTCTCTGTGGTTTGCTTCCTGGGCTTACTCGGGTTATCCAGCTGATTCACTGTTGCTGTGAAAACAGGGCTGAGCAGAAAGCCACAGAAACCAGAAGAAACTAGTCATGAAAACCCTGACAGTCAGCTGATAGATTTCTTCCTGAGAAGTCCTCATAACTGCTAGCATTTTTTTCCAGACCAGAGGCAAATCTTCAGGATCTGACCAAGATCTGGAGCTGTTTCAGCCCAAATTGGCTGAGATCTCTTTGGTCATGCTGGAGGGGGCCGAGTTCTACTTTAATGTGGACCATGGCTACCTGGAAGGCCTGGTGCGAGGGTGCAAGGCCAGCCTCTTGACCCAGCAAGACTACATCAATCTGGTTCAGTGCGAGACCCTGGAAGGTAAGAGCCACTCTTCTCACCAGTAAAAAGGGGAAAAGGAAATGACACTGTCCATTGGGAACATGGAGAACAGACTCTGTTCCCATGGCCTGAGAGTCTCGAATGGGTTTTTATTCCCAGGCTCCAGACTCCAAGGGTCCATGAACTTGGAGGAGGCAAAAAAAATTTACATCTTTTTTTCAGTATTCTGTTAGTGAAATTGGGCATTTCCTTTCATTATGAATGTAGACAACAAATCATAGTGGTTAGTGCTTTGTCTCCACTAAAAAGTCAATATTTTCATTTCCTTATACAATTCTTTCAGATGTTTTGAAATATCACCTATATTTTCACAATTTTGCATGTATACTAGGTATTATACTTACTCTTTAATCTTTATATTTAATGTCTTAATAGTGAAGTATGTATTACACATTTTAAAACATCTTGGTAACTGTATTTTAACATCTTTTGTTCACTTGTAATCCTATATATTTTCATCCTACGTATTTATAAATAATATTTGAAGAAGGACTCAGCAAACTGCCCAGGAACAAATGCCCTCCCCACCCCACAACAAAATGCTAAGAGACTTGGTCTAGAGAATTTTACGCTATACTTAGTTTATCAGTAAGTATTGAAATGAGAGTTGAGGTTTTTATCTTTAACTGAAACTTAAGAAAAAAGTCAAGAGATGAGCAGATGGTGAGACCAGCCTTGGATTCAAAAGTATTGACTTTGACCTCTGTTGGATGTAGGTAGGTGGCCTAAGGCTCAAAACCTGAGCCTCTGAGTCCTCATTTGTAAAATGCTATGGTAAAGCCTGTTTTGCCTGCCTTGTTTGGAGACATAAATGAGGTAATACATGAGAAATATGTTAGAAACTAAAGCACTATGTAAATGAAAATTATCTTTTTTAAAGCACTTTATTGAGATGTAATTGACATGCAAGAAACTACATGTTTAATGTATACAAGCTGATGAGATTAGAGGTAGGTACTTCCATGAAATCACCACAATCTATGCAATAAATCTATCCATTACCTCCAAAAGTTTCTTTCTGCTCTGTATTAGTGTGTGTGTGTGCGTGTGTGTGTGTGTGTGTGTGTGTGTGTGTGAACTACAGGCTCTATGCTGTACAAATTTCTAGGACTTACTTATCTTGTGTTTCCAAAATTTTGTACCCTTTGATTAATACCTCCCCATTTCCCCCTTTTCTCTGAAAGTTATCTTTAAGCTACAATACTTTCAAAACTTTACCAAAGATTGTCATCTATAAAACATTATTTTTATTATAAAAACAACTACACTAGTTCATTTTGAAATGTACTTATAAAATCAATACATGTCAATAATAAGGTACTTTAAAACTTCCAGAAAAAGCAAGAAAGCAATAAGGATCAAAACTGCTAGAAAGGGTAGTGAAAACAAAAACAAAACAAAAAACCTGAAGGTGACTTTCCTGAGGCTAAGGGTCTTGCAACACTTGTTTGTAGTTCTGACCAGTTAAAGCCAGAGTTAAGGAGGAGCTGCCCAAATTGAGATAAACCCTCTCCTTTCATTAGCAATGGAGACAGCCAGAAAAATCTTTCAGATGATAAATAATTCTGTAGGCTACAAGTAATTACAATATAATCCCAATCCTAAATCACTTCAGCATATTAAGAGTTTGGTGACTGGAGAACATTAATCATGTACAAAGCTCTGCATAAATATTGTGATAATTTTGTATAGTGACAGATAGTCACAATATACTTATTGTGGTGAGCATTTCGTAATGTATATCATTGGGTTGTTTTGTTTTGTTTTGTTTTTTTAAACTGTATTTATTTTTGAGAGAGAGAGCAGGAGCTGGGGCAGAGACAGAGAGGGAGAGAGAGAATCCCAAGCTGGCTCCACACTGTCACTGCAGAGCTTAATATGAATCTTGAACCCACAAACCATGAGATCAAGACTTGAGCTGAAATCAAGAGTCAGATGCTTAACCAACTGAGCCACCCAGGCACCCCCAATAATTGTTGAATCACTGTGTTATACACCTGAAATTAATATAATGTATGTCAACTATACTTGAATAAAAAAAGAAAATGTGCTTAAGTTGAAGTAGAAAATATGAATGAACACAGGGCAGAATGAGTGTTTCTAACAGAAGCCACTTGAATGAACTCTATTTAGTTTTCAGTCAAGCTTTTAATTTTTTAAGGTTATTTATTTATTTTCAGTAATCTCTACATCCAAAGTGGGGTACCCAAACTCATGACCCCTAGATCAAGGGTCACACACTCTTCTTTTTTTTAATATATATAGTTTATTTATTTTTGAGACAGAGAGAGACAGAGCATGAGTGGGGGAGGGGCAGAGAGAGAGGGAGACCCAGAATCTGAAACAGGCTTCAGGCTCCAGCACAGAACCCATCGCAGGGCTCGAACCCATGAACCGCGATTTCATGACCTGAGCTGAAATCGGATGCTTAACCGACTGAGCCACCCAGGCACCCCAAGTCACACACTCTTCTGACTGAGCCAGCCAAGCACCTCAGACTTTAAATGAGCTGGAAAAAAAAATGCAAATTTTAACACAAACAACACAAAAAAAATTCCTAAAATGTGATACAAAGTGAGGCTTAGGCAGTTCACTAAATAAATCAGAGAGAAACCACCCTCAGCTTCAATATGGGAGAGAAAAATGGGTTTCAGACCCCTTTGAAGATCTGGTGAATGAGCCTTCTAAGAAAAACACACCCAGACGCATGCACACAGAATTTTCCATGCAATATCAGGGGCCATGGGTACCCAAAACCATCTTAACCCTGGTTAAGAAACCCTGACACACCCATCAATACTTTGTTGTTCTTGTACCTTAGGTTTCTTTCTTTCTTCCTAATCTATTTTTTCAAACATGCATTTCATAACTATGTTTGAATCAGTGTGCCCATCTGTTTGGAGACTCCCAGGAATATCAAGTGTGGGTCATTAAACTACAGGTTATAATCGCTGCTGAGAAAATAAATCTAAATAAGGATTTCATGTCGTGCAGTTAACAGTTGAGGAGGCTTAGAATGGCTCTAATTTGACACTCCTGTCAGGGATGGAGTGTAGACATATCCACATCTCTTTTTCCACTAAAATGTTTGTGCCTCCTGAGCATGAATTAAAGATAAATGAATATGCCTGTTTTGATGTCAGCTCCTTTTTGATAATAATAATGGATAGTGGATAATAATAGTGTCTGCCCTACTTGATTATTTCATAGGACGCTAGGAAATAAATAACATGGGAAAAGTAATGCAATGTTGTATCTGCAGATATACTGAGAGAAACCAAGCCAACTTCTGAGCTGATGAAGGGTTGAAGAGAAGGGTGCCTGGTGGGCTCAGTCAGTAGAGCATGTGACTCTTGATCTTGGAGTTGTAAGTTCGAGCCCGACATTGTGTATAACTTAAAAATAAAATCTTTAAAAAAAAAACAAGAGTTGAAGAGAAGAAATCAAGGGCATTTATTGGGATTGATGTTAAGGACTTTGGGATTTTTTTTTTACTTTTGCACAAAATATGCACTGTACCAATATGGGTGAAGAAGAGTGGATAAAACTGTCATTGTATACTATGTGTGTCGACACAGACACTTTCTGTAAAAGAAAAGCTAACTTGGCAAAGATTAAATTTGCTTTAGTGTTTTCAAGTTCTCTAGACTTCAAAAGTGTTCTGATATGAACAAATTGTTTTACAATTACTTAGAATATAAAGGTTCAGGAAAATTTAGAAGAGAAAATTAACATTGTCTAGAAAAGCTTTGAAAAGTCCTAGAATTCATAATTGTGCTTAACTGCGTATGTAATTGTGCCAGTGTGACCAGAAATACTCATCTGTTCCAAGGTTTGCCTCTGACTAACAGTGACCTGAGTCAGTTGCTGGGACACTCTGTGACTCTGTTGTTCCCAGAGACAGAAGAGGGAAGCTGGTTCACATGGCCTAACCCACTGGTGGTGCTGGAAGGCTGCATCACATGGAAACTTTAAAGTCTTTGAAAGTGACTTTGCAGCAAAATAATAATGTCAAAGGGGCATAAAATATTCTTTTAAAGAGTTAAGATTTTGGGGGGGTATCTGGGTGGCTCAGTCAGTTAAGCATCTAACTTCAGGTCAAGTCATGATCTCATGGTCCATGAGTTTGAGCCCCACATCAGACTCTGTGTTGACAGCTCAGGGACTGGAGCCTGCTTCCGATTAAGTGTCCCCTGTCTCCCTGCCCCTCCTTGTCTCGTACTCTGTCTCTCTTTCGAAAATAAATAAAATTTTTTAAAATTTTAAAGAATTGACACTTTTTTAAAAAAAATTAAGACTTTGTTTTTTTAGGGCAGCTTTTAACAGCAAAATTGAGAGGAAATTTTAGAGATTTCCCATATACCTCCTGCCTCCCTCCACTCACAGCCTCATCCATGAGTCCACATTCCCCCACCACAGCCTGTTATAACTGATGTTACTATTGATGAACCTGCAATGACACATCCTAATCACCAAGAGTCCACAGTTTACATCAGAGTTCACTCTTGCTGTTATACATTCTATGGGTTTGGACAAGTATAATGACATATATCCATCATTATAGTATACAAAGTATTTTCACTGCCCTAAGCATACTCTGTTCCACCTGTTCATTCCTCTCCCCCAGCCCCACTTCTGGCAACTGCCAATCTTTTTGCTCTCTCATAGCTTTCCCTTTTCCAGAATGTGATATAGTTAGAATTATAGAGTAAGTAGCCTTTTCAGATTGGCTTCTTTCACTTACTGACATGAATTTAAGTTTTCTTCATGTCTTTTCATGGCAACATTGCTATTTTCATCAGAATTTTTTTATTTTTTAAAGTTTATTTTGAGAGAGTGAAAGTGGGGGAGAGGCAAAGAGAGAAAGGGAGAGAGAATCTCAAGCAGGCTCTGCACCACCAGTGCAGAGATCATGACTTGAGCTGTAGTCGTACACGTAACCGATTGAACCACCCAGGTGTCCCTCATTAGAATTTTTT